AGAGTTGAAGCGAATATATACTACTTCATTGTCTGAGTTGCTTAAAACACCACATCCATCTTCGTTCTGTCTGATCTAGCTGGAAATTTACATTTTCTGAAAAATAAATATTATATACATGTTTTACATATATTGTTTTGTGATATACCTATGCAGTGACTCCCAAATGAAAATTGTATTTATGGTTGTAGTATATGCGTTGATAGGAATATTTAGATGGAAGTAAATTCAACATTACTTACAGCAACGTGTTAGTCTGAAAGTAGCTCTTACTATATTTTTGCCTGGATCCTGTTTACTCATCTGCCATCATGATTCAGAAACTAATCTTTTTTTGTTTGTTTTTACTTCCCGTTTGCTCTGGTGTTTCCTGTCTTCATGCTCGTAATGTATGCCGTTTTTCTACAAGAATCTTACAACCCCTGAAATATGGATGCATTCTTGCAGTGTTTGTGTTATAGCTGGCCATAAAAATGCCAGCGCTGTGACAACGCCATTACTACAGCAGAGTTGTGAAAGGTAAAAAAACAGGCAATCATTTCAGAGGACCTGCTGCTCTGCTGACATTCTGATTAGCCTCAGCTTCCAGGTATGTAACGACCTGCCACCGCCACTAATGCATTGCACAGCAGGGGCAAGGCAGACCCTCTAATTTACCCTTTAATTTGAACTGGCCTATGTATTTCCAGAGGAATTTTGGAAATAGCGTTTACCCACCTCTAAATAGCGTTTACCCACCGCTAAGTGGCGGTTACGCACCTCAAAGTTCCCTGCGCCTTGTATTCTTCCGTTGGAATAATCCGAAATAAACTCGTGTAATTTTAAAACAGCTAAGACTACGTTTCCTATTGTTGAACATATAAACACCGTAGTCTGAATCATTTTCATCTGCGCTGTATTATGGTCTGTGACCATCCAATCAGTGCCATGTGGCTGCAGCAGCGACACCAATCAGGATTCAGGAGGTATGTAAACACATACACGTTGTGGATTAGCCTGCCTGTCTACCTGTTCGGAATGTGTAATATTCGTGTGCGTGCACTGACATTTAATTGTCTAAGTACGACACGTACCAGTGAGTTTCTTTTAGTCGGCGCTGTATGCGTCCATCTTTATTAGTGCATATTTACTTCTGCGCATAAACGCGCACCTTGATGACCTCATCACAACATGACAGACATTTGAACCGGAAGTATCCAAGATGCTACAGAACGTAAGAGTGTTTTATTAGTACGCGTAAGAGTGTCTCAGTTTCATTAGTACGTGTAAGAGTGTCTCAGTAGTGTGTGTGAGAGTGTCTCAGTCGTCAAGTCCTAAACGGCCCCTCATAGAAAACAGCGGTTCTCCTTCACTTTCTGATTATAAGTCACCAGACAAGTTATAAGACATTCCCTGTTTCAAAATAAAACATATAACATGCCGATATAACCATTGAAATATTTTTGTGCAATAGCCCCCTGCTTTTGACTGCCGCCTATTCTCACCCACGGATTCCCTGCCTGTGGGAGGTATCACATTACATTACAGGTCATTTAGCAGACGCTTTTATCCAAAGCGACTTACATTACACTTTAAACCCATGGCTTTTTCACATTTTTGCCCGGGGAGCAATTAGGGGTTAGGTGTCTTGCTCAGGGACACTTCAACATGGAACATGGGGCAACCTGGAATCAAACCACCAACCTTCTCTAACCCCTGCGCCACGACGACGCTAAATACGATAAGGAGAGGGGTGGTGTTGTATGGTAGTGTCAGGGAGACTAAGCGGGGCTGGGACTTAGGTGGGGTGCTTGGGGGTGGAAAAGGGAAGGAGGCAGTAATGAAGGCAGTATTTCTTTTTCTCAGGAACACGGGGCTTTACAGCAGGATATAGACATAAGTTTCCCGGGCACGTCCGGTTTACTTCCTGTTTCTGCCAAGAACTTCCGGCGCAGGCTGAGTCCATCCATCCATCCATTGTCAAACCGCTTATCCTGCACACAGGGTCGCGGGGGGGCTGGAGTCCATCACAGCCAACTTCGGGCGATAGACAGGGTACATCCTGGACTGGTCGCCAGCCAATCGCAGGGCCAACACAGAGACACACAACCATTCACACATCAACGGGCAATTTAGAGTCCCCAATTAACCTGATCCCCAGAGCAGGCTGAGTAGTGGTGTAAAAATGGCTTTGGAATAGCAACATTCGCCCGAAAATCTTGTTAAAAATGGATGCGGAATGGTCAAAACACCATTCCGCATCCAAGTAAGGTAACATCATGGGCGGACAACATGTCGATATGGCCCAGCATCACAACATCCAATATCTTTTCTTATTTTATTTATTCCATGGAGGTGGATGGGAATGCAATTAATAACCTGAAAAGCTCAGTGGCGTTTCAGTACCTCCATTCCGACAAAGTGGGCTGTGTACTTTTACACGATATGGGCAGTTTAATTTACCTAAAGGCCGATGTTCAACCAAGCCAGTCCGTTAACAATTCAGCGCATAACGCCTGGGTTTTGGTTACCAAGACGGGAGATGTGGAGACTGCAGGCTGTACCTGTATCGCCGGACCTGGACGTTCCTGTAGCCATGCAGCCGCTGTGCTTTGGAAGGTACGTTAGCCCATCTTATGCTTGTATTAAGATGTTTGTATGTATCCGTGTGTTAATATATAACAGAACACGAAGAGTAATAAAAAGAAAAAGTAATCCCCTCTAGCCTGCCTGCACTAAAAGCATGGTTTAACCCTTCAAAGTCGACTGACGAGCGTCAAAGTGCGCACCCCTGATATATCTATTAATAGCTTCGGAATGGATAACTGTATTAACTTTTTTCTATGAAAAAGCTGACATTCGTCTGCGTAATAATTAGTAGACTGTGTTGACTTCCGCGAATAAAAAGCCTTCCGTATTTGAGTGCAAATCTATAGCATTTTACTGCAAAACAGAGAAATGTCAAACTGATTTATTTTATTTATCTATTTGCTTTTACTCTTTTTTTATATTATTCACTTATTATTATTATTATTAAATGTTATTTATTTATTTAATTATATTTTCTTCTATTCTTTTATTATTCTTTTCATATTTTTCCAGATTTTTTTTATATAAGTCTAAATAAATTCAGGCATTAAGGGGTTAAACATTGATATTGATGGCTGCAGGCCCAGCTCATTAATTGTTTTGAAAAGTAACAAAAACGCTGTACCTTCATCATACCCTTGTTATTTTGATTTACAAAATGTTGTCTCTAAAAGAAGTCAATTGTGCTGTGATGCTCAAACCATTACTTAAAAAGTGTGTGATTTTGTTTCTATCTGTCTGCAGGTAGAAAATGCTGTGAGGCAAGGGAAGACAGGGCTTGCCTGCACTGATGTGCAGAATTGCTGGAATGCCGGGACAAAAAGCAATACTGGGCAGCAAAAAATGTGAGATGTGTCTTTCCGAAGACACAGCAGAAATAATCTATACCAACCAGCTTCACATACATCCTCCTCCAGCATAGTCTCTACAGCTAGTCGCAAGGTAAAAGTCCATGAGACACTTTAAGAATGGCAAAATTACTGTCTCTCCACACCAATAGCGGCACTTTTTACTGCACCTGGACTAATGCAGCTCACTTTTAACACCAGCCTCCCTGCTGAGTCTGCCCAGACATCAAAAGCTCCACTGCCCCTACATCATGGTGATGACAACACACAACTTGAATGTGAGAAATGTAGGGCATTCTACACCACATACATTGAAATGACTTCAACCCAATTTATGTACATTGAGCAGCACACAAAAGAACAGAGCAGGGAACAACTGTGGCATGACATGCGACGGGTACGGATAACAGCAAGCACAGCCAAGAAGGTGCCAGTTCGGGCTACCACAGCACCAGACAAATTCTTGTCTGAACACCTCCATCCTACCTTTCACTGTAACACGGCAACCCGGCAAGGAGCAGAGGGTGAAGAGCACGGCAGGCAATACCTGCAAGACCAAGGTCATGACATCGATGTGAAAGAGAGCCTTCACATCTTCCGCCGCAAACTAAAGACACACCTCTTCAGACTCTACCTCGACTAAAGACTAACAAATTGTAGCACTTAAATTGTACTTGTAACGTCACTCATCTATAGCAAATTGTAAATTGGCTTATTTGAGGAAATTGCACTTTCTTGTTCTCCTGAGTTTGTACCCTATGGTTGAATGCACTTATTGTACGTCGCTTTGGATAAAAGCGTCCGCTAAATGACATGTAATGTAATGTAATGAAAGGATTGGTGGTTTGCCCGAGTGAGCCATGGCTTGCTGCGAGTCCGGATGGTGTCATGAACAGAGACACACTACTGGAGATCAAGTGCCCTGTCTTAGTCAAAAACCAGTCCCTTACTGAAGCACTTGCTGCTAAAAGCAGTGAGATCAAACGCATGCCCACAGGGGACTTCCATCTGTCCTTCAATGGGCCAAAGGGATATTACATGCAGGTGCAACTGGGCATGCACTGCACAGGCCTACGGCAAGCCTTGTTGGTAATTTGGAGTAACACTGAATGTCTGCAGCTCAACGTGCCCTACGACCAAACCTTTGTTGAGGGACATATCTCAAGGCTACACTCCTTCTATTTCACCCACATGTTGCCAAAAGTTGTCGATGACTTCGATGATGGAAGGCTGGAGTTGTGCTCCAGATACATGAATGTCAGCATGACCTGCTTATGTGTACTGGGGTGATTAGTGATTCCTTTTTTAACCCCTTGTCCCCTGTTGTCACAAATTGGTGACAAATCCTTTCTAGCTTTTATTTATTTTTATCAAACTGATTTAATTAATTTTCTTTTACTTTTATATCAGTCACTTATCATTTATCTTTATTTATTTAACATTTTATTTTATTCCAGTCTTTTTCTTTTTGTAATATTTTGATATTTACTTTGTTTTTATTTAATTATAAAATAAAATGCAGCCATTAAGGAGTTAATGAAATTGTCCCTTTGTTATGGAATAGGATCAATAAAAATTAATTAATTTCTTCTCAAAAATCAAATTGTTTATTGTCATGTGTCAATATTTACAATACAAGAAAAAGAATAGCACTCACACAAGTTTTTCTTAGTTAAAACTCTGTTTTGGCTTATCAATAATCACAACACCAGAAAGGGAACAATAACAATAAATTTACACAGGTTTTTCTAGCTGAAATGTATTTATATATAATATATATATATATACAGTATATATATATGGTAACACTTTATTTTAAGGATCAGAAATTACACTAATTAATGACTAATAACTGCATTTGTAAGTAACTAGTTGTACTTGTATGCCGATACAAGCTATTTACAAGCCCTTTATTGGCTGTTGTAGCTCATAAGTATGAAATAAATATAGAATGGGCATTTCAACAGACATTTAAATTTGCAAAGTATGTAATTGGCACAGTACAAGCTATTAGTTTGATTTATTTTTTATCTAATTAGTAGATTGTTAGGACAGAGACAAATATAAAGGGGCTATAAGACAAAACAAAGACAACAGCCAATAAAGGCCTTATAAATAGCTTGTAATGGCACACAAGTATAACTAGTTACTTACAAATGCAGTTATTAGTCATTAATTAGTGTCTAATTTCTGATCCTTAAAATAAAGTGTTACCATATATAAAAGGAATATGTACAATAAAAAAAATAAAAAACTGCAGGTAACCCAGGTTTTACTTTTCATAGGGACTTACACCTCATGTGGCAGTCGGATGAGTCTGGACCTCATGTTTTCTAAAGCAGCACATATGATAAGAATCTTGTCCAACCTCGGGGTCATGGAGATGGGGACAGTTTGGGACAGAATTTTGAAGACTTTAAGTCTTCGGATTGCCCTCTCCACATGTATACGGACATTGGCCACTCGTCTAGTGCGCGTTACCTGCTCATTGGTCAATTGACCACACTTGTAGGTAAAGGCAGGAATATTTAATTTCACCTTCCTTTCATGTAGTACATCTCGAATCGTGAAACCCCTGTCAGCCATTACCTCATCACCAGGCCTTAGGGCCTCCAGAAACCCACTGTTTATAGTGATGAACTTGTCACTGCTTTTACCAGCATAGGCCTCTGATATAAACATTATCAGCCCATGAGGTGACACAGCAACAAGATATTTGGCAGTATTGGTTGCCTTGTAATGACTGAAAGTGGCACCCCTACAGTTAAGGTTTGTAGCTCCCTGAATAGCCGTTTCAGCACAATCGATGATGCAAGTGGTCTGGGGGTGGTTCTTTTTAAAGGATGGTGGCATGTTAGCACGAATAACACTTCTTGGCAGCCAGGCAACCATGGGTTCAAGCTGCTCACCCTATGTATCAATCCAGTGAGCAATCACCTTACTTACTTCACCTTTAGACACTTTAAAGCGCTTTGCCACATCCCCTAACACAAGGTTCAGTTTCAGTTTCATGAGGGTCATCAGTATTTGGTCAACAACAGGAATACTACATGATGGTTTACTAAATGGCAACATCGTTTTCACCAAAGTAAAAAAATATAATAGACGCAGTCCTGTGTACAGCAGCGAGGTATCATCATCCAGGAGCATATCATCAGCCACAGTCTGACCCTCAGTCTGCGTCGATTTGTTCACGTGGTCCAACTTTGCCGCGTAGCTGTGGTCCCATTGTATTGCAGCATCTTTAAACTTCGGCTCTTCTAAAACACAAACAGCATCAACTATACATGTATGTACCCTACTAACACAGGACAGAGACACATAACGTTATATCAACAGTCGAACTTATGCTGCAAACTTTAGCTAACCAGAAAAATATCAAGATCCACTTACCATCCGATTGCGTGTTACTTGTGTTTCTGTCGAGTTTACGTCTCTTTTGCTGGGGAGGTCGCTCGTATCCCAACCAAAGTTCCGGGAAAGGGTTTTCCTCTGTGGGCTTTTTATCAATGAAGTGATAAGAACAAACAAACAGTCTTTTGGGCGGATTCTTCAACTTCAAAGCCGCTAGCCACTTCCGAGATTCAACATCTGTTTTAGGTTTCTCATACAACGCATACGGGGGAGCACATCCACATTGGCGCCTTGTAGATGGTCGATGGTCGAAACATTCTCTTTCCGACCAAACATTCAGCAATCGCCACGAGTTGTTGCAACCGTGAACAGCACAATATGTCCCGGAGCCGTGTCGGCGTGTAACACCATCCATAGTTTACTTTTTCTGCACACTAACCAAAGACAGTAAAAGACGCTAACTCGCTAACTGGAAGTGCTTTGCAGACGCAACCGGAAGTCGTTGGCAGAGTGAAAGGCCAATGGTGGCCCGCCTATTTCACTCAGGAAACTTGTCCGTGACCAGCCTCACACTCCAGTGCAGTAGGTGGCGGTATATGCACCTTTAAGTTGGTTGCGATCTGCCAGTAAACGAAAAGAAGAAGAAGAAGAAGAAGAAGACACGGAGGAGAAAGCGAGCGAGACAGCAGGAACGCGAGGAGGGTGAGACCCAGGGGATGTTCCTCAAACGAGACGGTTCTAACGAAATATATTCTCTTTCTTCTGCACCAGGAGTAATCTGGCGAAGCCTCCTGATGTCCCTGGCCACCCCGGTGAAGAGTTTTTTGAGTTACCGTTTTTCCTCTCCCTTTTCCCCTTCCCCGGTTGAATTATTGATAATAAACCTTTGTTAACTTCACCGTGATCCTGCTTGTCGTCCGCCTCTCCCCTGGGACCCCTTGGCCTACCCCGCGAGGTAGGGCGCCCACAGCACAACAGCTTTTGTGCCACCAAGAAATAAGTCGTCGTGATCCCATGATCAATCCCCGCAATAAAGGAGAGAAAGAAAAGCCTATCGATGCACAGTAAAGGCTGGCGCATGCTTCTGCGTCTGCGTCGTTCCGTCGACGCACTTGTTTCAATTCATGGTTCTAAAAAGTCTTGTGTGTGTTGCAGAGCAATTCACCGCCAGAACAACAGGTGGAGTAACGTGTTTTGTTGAAGACGACCTAGAGAGTCACGTCTTTGTGTGTGGAAGTCGTTGGTTTGTTTATTTATTTATCATAGACTTTATTGCCCCGTGCATCGCCACTGCTGCTTTTCATCGCGGACACATTTGTCCCGTATTTTCCTCCACAACTTTGTGCACTTCTCGACTGGCAGATCTCCCTCCATGAATCCAACCTACCAATGACGGATTGTATAAGCAGTCATATTTACGCATTTCTTCCGTCAAAAGTTCTTCAATCGGATCCGTTCTCTCGTAAACATTCTTTGTTTTAATAATGCCGGTATCGGGCTATGAAAACACAAATGTGAGACTCCGTAAAGGATGTAGTTAGCAGACCAATCGCAGCCTGGTGCGCTGCAGGAGGCTAGAAAAATGGGTCGACACACGCATGGACGCAAGGAGGTGTGAAAAGGCACGCAGGGGACACGCAAGGGACACGTAAGGGGGTCTTGCGTCTGCGTCGCTCTGAAATCGCAGAAGCATAAACTAGGCTTAAGGCTAAATCTGGCCAGAAGTTAGATTAGCATGTGTCGTTATTTTGATTGATGTTTACTGTATTGTTTAATGCGAGATTGCGTTTGTTTATGAACCGCTATCATGCCTCACTGTTCCGAATAAGATCTGCCTTGCTTTAAGTCTTTCCTTCTTCCTTTTATTTCTAATTTACTAACACATACACCTGTCCCTCCACACATATAGAGCTACCTACAGAGAGAGATTTAACTATGTGAGGATCACACGTGGTGTATAAATACAGCCTGCTAGCAACATCTCAGCCATGTGGTCGGTAGCTTAAAGTCCAGCTAGCTCCCTTCCTGAGCTCTCCCCTCCTTATCTCACCGACACATACACACACGCCTCCCCTCCACATGCATGAATGAATGTTTGTATTTGTTGTTTAGATATTAGGATATTGTATGATTTTGTTGATTTCAACTTGTATTGATCACATTAGTATTGTTGGAAGTGAATAAACCCTGTTATACTTTAAGCAGAAGTATTCTGTGATTTCTTTGTGCATATGTGTACTGTAATGCTGGCTGAAAACAGTCTTCAATCTTCAATTCCTTGCTGTTAATGAGTGAATATCACTGAGACTTGATTTATAGTTTGGTTATTAGTCCCTTTTTAGCGTGGTGCCCCGTTATTTGTTTTGTGAATTATCTTGGTGATTACTAATAATTATATTGATGTCAATGATTTAATTTCACACTAGCTATTAACCAACACATTACCCCTACACTGTGCGCAACAAATGGTGCCCCGCATAAGGCGATTCCATCCATCCATCTTCAGCCCCTTATCCGGGGCCGGGTCGCGGGGGAAACAGCTCCAAGGGACCCCAAACTTCCCTTCCTGGGCCACATCTACCAGCTCTTAACTGGGGGATCCCAAGGCATTCCCAGGCCAGTGCAGAGATATAATCTCTCCACCTAGTCCTGGGTCTTCCCCGGGGCCCTCTTCCCAGCTAGCCGTGCCTGGAACACCTCCCTAGGGAGGCGCCCAGGGGGCATCCTCACCAGATGCCAAAACTGGCTCCTTTCGACGCAAATGAGCAGCGGCTCTACTCCGAGCTTCTCACGAATGGCTCAGCTTCTCACCCTATCTCTAAGGGAGACGCCAGCCACTCTCCTAAGGAAACCCATTTCAGCCGCTTGTAACCGTGATCTAGTTATTTTGGTCATGACTCATCCTTCATGACCATAGGTGAGGGTAGGAACGAAGTTTGACCGGTAGATCGAGAGCTTTGCCTTCCGGTTCAGCTTTCTTTTCGTCACAACGGTGCGGTAAAGCGAGTGCAATACCGCCCCGGCTGCTCCGATTCTCCAGCCAAACTCACACTCCATCTTCCCCTCACTCGTGAACAAGACCCCGAGGTACTTTAACTCCTTCACTTGGGGTAAGGACACATTCCACTGGGGCTTTCCTACTGAAGCAACAATTTAATCAGAATAAACTGGAGAACTAAACTAAGGTCCTGCGTTCAACTAAGTAAGACTTAATTTTAAAATTTGAGCAGTTTTTACCTTTACGAGACCTTTAGAAGTATACTGTGCTGCATATACTTGCATTTTGTTTAACCAAGAATTAAAAATTACCGTGTAGACTTTCACTTCTAAATAGTAAGTAAATCTACTGAATACTTGTTTGACTGGTGCCAGGTAATCAGAAGAAACTGACACAGCCTGGATCCAAACCCACTAACGACTGAGCTACAGTCCCGCCTTTTGAAAGATTACTTTAGCAATTGTTACAAATAGGATTTTTAAAGTAAGTATGTAACTTAATTTAGCTGTTTTACTACTCTTATCGTCTTTATTCACTATTGCCCCAGCCAGAGAACTAGCTGTTTTGTATGCAGACAGACACACTGTATTCCAATTGAGGCGTCACACGTGATTCTCAGCCCCTAATCCATAATGTTCATTGCCACGACTGTGGAATGTGCTCCTCATAGCAATTTAGTGATTAGTTGTTTTTATTCAAATATCTCGTATTCTGTGTCACCAACGGAAACATTTTAATTATACTCTGACTCATTCCTTTTCTCCCACTTGTCAAATTTTGGTACATTATTATCGGAATAGCTAATGTGCCATTTCATTTATTGCCCATTTACGTTCCTTTTGGGGGCCATTGTTGTCGGCATGGAAGAACTGCAAATCCATTTTGTAAAGGGATCACAAACAGATGTTGTGTATTTTCACAGGAGACAGTGTATCTCTCTGTAGACCGTGTGTGTATGGTCTGGAATACAAGGAAGGAAGAAAAAAAACATGTTCACAATAAAACACAGTAAGTCATCTACATAAATTGTTCGAGTTGTCAAAATGAAATAAATAATTCATTAATACACTGCAATTCAGAGAGATGGATAAAAAATACAGCTTATAAAGTGTCTGTTATATACAAAGAAGGTTGACAAATTAACTCAGTTAACGTGAGAGCTAATAACTGGAAGTTATATTTTGTCGGTCATGACTGGACAGTTGATAATAACTACATTTGAAGTCTTTCATAATCAAAGTATGATTTCTAAAGCTATAGAATTTTCTTGGTACGCTGAGGCCATAAAGGCTCAGCGGTCCTTTTCTGCTGGGAGGAAATGCAGAGCCTTTCCACTCAGTGCTGTAGTGGTAAAATTAGAGGTGGGTAAACTCTGAATTTTGTGATCATGCAGACCTCGACGCGATGCAATGCGATGCGAAGCAACGCAACACAAAGCGTCGCGACTCTGTAAGGCTGTCCTGGCTATATTGCATTATGTTTTCTGTCCAGATATGTGGGTGGCATCTGCTCTCTATTTCTCCTCTCACTGTGTCTTCAGTCTCAGATTCTTCTTCCTCTGTATCTCCCTCTACTTCAGATTCTAATTCAGTTTCTCCACTCTCCATCTCTCCTGCCCCTGTTTCTTCTCTTACTCCTCTCTTAGAGAACTGACTTGTTTTCAAATAATCTATGTTTACAGTGTATTTCGCTTACAGGCTACTCTACACATTTCGTGACTTCAAATAATTGATTAAGCATATAGGCCTATTTAGTGAAGCAACAGCTTTGCTCCCCGCTCACGTTTTCTATGCGAGAGCAGGACATGATGACAGGGGAGGGGAGTAGAAAACTAATATATTTGACTTTGACCGCGAAATTTGAAGATTCTATAGCTAAACTAAAACATTTCACTTAGCATTTCTCTTAGCATTAGCATTTTTCTTAGCTATTACAATTTTCAATGAATTAGCCTAATCTGCAGCACTATGCGTGAGGATAATTATTCATTTTATTAGGCCTATTTAGATGGGACCGGGAAGGCTGGCTTGTTACCTTCATCATCGTATTTTAAAGCACGTTATTAATAGCGTTTGTCCCTGTCTTAATGCGATGTTGTGCGAACCAAAACAACGTTTAAAAACGTGAATTGATCTTCAGTCTTACTTTGTACTGGAGGCCTTTTGCGGACATCTGTGGGAGTGGGAGCACTCAATGGTCTCTTCAAATATCGTCTGATATCCATTGCTAATTCTTCTCTTCTTCTTCTTTTTCGTTTACTGGCAGATCGCACCAACTTAAAGGTGCATCTACCGCCACCTACTGCACTGGAGTGTGAGGCCGGTCACGGACTCCCTTCTATATCCTGTTGTACAGCCCCGTGTTCCTAAGAAAAAGAAATACTGCCTTCATTACTGCCTCCTTCCCTTTTCCACCCCCAAGCACCCCACCTAAGTCCCAGCCCCGCTTTGTCTCCCTGACACTACCATACAATACCACCCTCTCCTTATCATACCTCCCACAGACAAACAGTACATGCTCAACTGTTTCCACCACCTCACATCTATCACACAAACCTGTGTCATGTTTTGCCACCACTCTCAGCGTGCCATTCAACCCTGTGTGCCCATACCTTAACCTACTCCACACTACCTCTTCCCTCCTGCACCCCATCATTCCCCCAACCTCCTTCACTGACCTATTTATACCCCGGAAGTGCCTCCCTTTAACACCTTCACCCCACTGTCTCTCCCACTCCGCAATCCCTGCTTCCCGTATCAACGACTTAACCTCCCTGCGCCCTAACGACACACTTACATCCACCTCAGTCCTCCTTACAGCACTCTTTGCCACCATGTCAGCCACCTCATTACCCTCCACTCCAGCATGCGCAGGAACCCAGCAGAACCTCACCTCTACTCCCTGTCTCTCCAACCCCAGCAATATTCCCATCAATTCTCCCAATAGGTCTTCCCTGTCAGACCTACCATCCAGAACACTGCTTAACACTGCTGCTGAGTCTGAACATATCAGCACCCTACATGGTGTCACATCCTCCACCCATCTCAACCCAATGATCATAGCCACCATCTCTGCTGTATACACCGACACATTATCAGTGACTCT